CGAATCTGAGTGAAAAATATAGTTCATCATGTAAATCTTAACGAAGAATATAAATCTTCTAATTGTTGGTATATTAAAGTATATTAAAATGTAGGATTTTTTCCGATTTTGACCCGGGGATATACTTTAATATACTTTAATATGGTTGGCCCCCCCCCCCCCCCCCCCCCCCCCAATCTTGTTACAATCAAGTGCTAATCGCCATGAACCTGATTTTAGCGTATTTTAACCGACTGACCAAGTAAATGTAGCGGCCGTAATTTCAAGACTGTCGGATACGGCCATACTCGGTTGAATACACCCCATCTCGTTCGATCTGGGAAGTTAAGCAACTGCAGGCCGGGTTAGTACTTGGATGGGTGACCGCCTGGGAATTCCCGGTGCCGTATCCTTTTGCAAATTATTTGTCAACCAACGGATCCTTTCTATTCTTGAGACTCGGGTGACACTTTTTTAAGGGGAAAAAGGCCCCTTTTCTGTTCTCAAAGGAAAGGAACGAAATGCTGTCGACAATATCCAGAGCACTCTGATGAAGTAAGGGCAGCATCGAGCTGCATCTCAAACACGTCCAATAACATCCCTTTTAAGGTGGCTAATGGAAAAGCCATTATCAGCAACATTAGATGGTCATGTGACTACTTTGGCGTTGAGCCGTGCTATCTTGTGACCTTCACGTGTCTCATTACTTGCCGCTCTGGAGGCTAGCAAGGAAAGATTCTGAGAATTTCCATGGATCCGCGCAAGGAAAGAGCTAGGTTGACATACAAATAGGCCTAGCACCACTCAATCGGCAGTTTTAATACTTTCAACACTACTATATAACAAATAATTTGAGGTAAGATTAAGTTCCAATGTGTAACTGGTTCTCTCCGGAGACCAGACCTCACATCTTTTGGTAAGCCTTCCACAAGGAGGGCTCTAATAAACGATGCAATAATAAAGATAGAAAGCTCCCAATGTATCCCGACAGCCATCTCCGAGTCGGGTCTGATTACGTTTAAAGTTTTGTGATCACAACCAAAAAGTAGCCAATCTTGTTACAATCAAGTGCTAATCGCCATGAACCTGATTTTCGCGTACTTTAACCGACTGACCTAGTAAATGTAGCGGCCGTAATTTCAAGACTGTCGGATACGGCCATACTCGGTTGAATACACCCCATCTCGTTCGATCTGGGAAGTTAAGCAACTGCAGGCCGGGTTAGTACTTGGATGGGTGACCGCCTGGGAATTCCCGGTGCCGTATCCTTTTGCAAATTATTTGTCAACCAACGGATCCTTTCTATTCTTGAGACTCGGGTGACACTTTTTTTGGGGAAAAAAGGCCCCGTTTCTGTCCTCAAAGGAAAGGAACGAAATGCTGTCGACAATCTCCAGAGCACTCTGATGAAGTATGGGCAGCATCGAGCTGCATCTCAAACACGTCCAATTACATCCCTTTTAAGGTGGCTAATGGAAAAGCCATTATCGGCAACATGAGATGGTCATGTGACCACTTTGGCGTTGAGCCGTGCTATCTTGTGACCTTCACGTGTCTCATTACTTGCCGCTCTGGAGGCTAGCAAGGAAAGATTCTGAGAATTTCCATGGATCCGCGCAAGGAAAGAGCTAGGTTGACATACAAATAGGCCTAGCACCACTCAATCGGCAGTTTTAATACTTTCAACACTACTATATAACAAATAATTTGAGGTAAGATTAAGTTCCAATGTGTAACTGGTTCTCTCCGGAGACCAGACCTCACATCTTTTGGTAAGCCTTCCACAAGGAGGGCTCTAATAAACGATGCAATAATAAAGATAGAAAGCTCCCAATGTATCCCGACAGCCATCTCCGAGTCGGGTCTGATTACGTTTAAAGTTTTGTGATCACAACCAATGCAAAAAGTAGCCAATCTTGTTACAATCAAGTGCTAATCGCCACGAACCTGATTTTAGCGTACTTTAACCGACTGACCAAGTAAATGTAGCGGCCGTAATTTCAAGACTGTTGGATACGGCCATACTCGGTTGAATACACCCCATCTCGTTCGATCTGGGAAGTTAAGCAACTGCAGGCCGGGTTAGTACTTGGATGGGTGACCGCCTGGGAATTCCCGGTGCCGTATCCTTTTGCAAATTATTTGTCAACCAACGGATCCTTTCTATTCTTGAGACTCGGGTGACACTTTTTTAAGGGGAAAAAGGCCCCTTTTCTGTTCTCAAAGGAAAGGAACGAAATGCTGTCGACAATCTCTAGAGCACTCTGATGAAGTATGGGCAGCATCGAGCTGCATCTCAAACACGTCCAATTACATCCCTTTTAAGGTGGCTAATGGAAAAGCCATTATCGGCAACATGAGATGGTCATGTGACCACTTTGGCGTTGAGCCGTGCTATCTTGTGACCTTCACGTGTCTCATTACTTGCCGCTCTGGAGGCTAGCAAGGAAAGATTCTGATAATTTCCATGGATCCGCACAAGGAAAGAGCTAGGTTGACATACAAATAGGCCTAGCACCACTCAATCGGCAGTTTTAATACTTTCAACACTACTATATAACAAATAATTTGAGGTAAGATTAAGTTCCAATGTGTAACTGGTTCTCTCCGGAGACCAGACCTCACATCTTTTGGTAAGCCTTCCACAAGGAGGGCTCTAATAAACGATGCAATAATAAAGATAGAAAGCTCCCAATGTATCCCGACAGCCAACTCCGAGTCGAGTCTTATTACTTTTAAAGTTTTGTGATCACAACCAAAAAGTAGCCAATCTTGTTACAATCAAGTGCTAATCGCCATGAACCTAATTTTCGCGTACTTTAACCGACTGACCCAAGTAAATGTAGCGGCGGTAATTTCAAGACTGTCGGATACGGCCATACTCGGTTGAATACACCCCATCTCGTTCGATCTGGGAAGTTAAGCAACTGCAGGCCGGGTTAGTACTTGGATGGGTGACCGCCTGGGAATTCCCGGTGCCGTATCCTTTTGCAAATTATTTGTCAACCAACGGATCCTTTCTATTCTTGAGACTCGGGTGACACTTTTTTTGGGAAAAAAGGCCCCGTTTCTGTCCTCAAAGGAAAGGAACGAAATGCTGTCGACAATCTCTAGAGCACTCTGATGAAGTATGGGCAGCATCGAGCTGCATCTCAAACACGTCCAATTACATCCCTTTTAAGGTGGCTAATGGAAAAGGCATTATCGGCAACATGAGATGGTCATGTGACCACTTTGGCGTTGAGCCGTGCTATCTTGTGACCTTCACGTGTCTCATTACTTGCCGCTCTGGAGGCTAGCAAGGAAAGATTCTGAGAATTTCCATGGATCCGTGCAAGGAAAGAGCTAGGTTGACATACAAATAGGCCTAGCACCACTCAATCGGCAGTTTTAATACTTTCAACACTACTATATAACAAATAATTTGAGGTAAGATTAAGTTCCAATGTGTAACTGGTTCTCTCCGGAGACCAGACCTCACATCTTTTGGTAAGCCTTCCACAAGGAGGGCTCTAATAAACGATGCAATAATAAAGATAGAAAGCTCCCAATGTATCCCGACAGCCATCGTCCGAGTCGGGTCTGATTACGTTTAAAGTTTTGTGATCACAACCAATGCAAAAAGTAGCCAATCTTGTTACAATCAAGTGCTAATCGCCATGAACCTGATTTTAGCGTTTTTTAACCGACTGACCTAGTAAATGTAGCGGCCGTAATTTCAAGACTGTCGGATACGGCCATACTCGGTTGAATACACCCCATCTCGTTCGATCTGGGAAGTTAAGCAACTGCAGGCCGGGTTAGTACTTGGATGGGTGACCGCCTGGGAATTCCCGGTGCCGTATCCTTTTTCAAATTATTTGTCAACCAACGGATCCTTTCTATTCTTGAGACTCGGGTGACACTTTTTTGGGAAAAAAGGCCCCGTTTCTGTCCTCAAAGGAAAGGAACGAAATGCTGTCGACAATCTCTAGAGCACTCTGATGAAGTATGGGCAGCATCGAGCTGCATCTCAAACACGTCCAATTACATCCCTTTTAAGGTGGCTAATGGAAAAGGCATTATGGGCAACATGAGATGGTCATGTGACCACTTTGGCGTTGAGCCGTGCTATCTTGTGACCTTCACGTGTCTCATTACTTGCCGCTCTGGAGGCTAGCAAGGAAAGATTCTGAGAATTTCCATGGATCCGTGCAAGGAAAGAGCTAGGTTGACATACAAATAGGCCTAGCACCACTCAATCGGCAGTTTTAATACTTTCAACACTACTATATAACAAATAATTTGAGGTAAGATTAAGTTCCAATGTGTAACTGGTTCTCTCCGGAGACCAGACCTCACATCTTTTGGTAAGCCTTCCACAAGGAGGGCTCTAATAAACGATGCAATAATAAAGATAGAAAGCTCCCAATGTATCCCGACAGCCATCTCCGAGTCGGGTCTGATTACGTTTAAAGTTTTGTGATCACAACCAAAAAGTAGCCAATCTTGTTACAATCAAGTGCTAATCGCCATGAACCTAATTTTCGCGTACTTTAACCGACTGACCGAAGTAAATGTAGCGGCCGTAATTTCAAGACTGTCGGATACGGCCATACTCGGTTGAATACACCCCATCTCGTTCGATCTGGGAAGTTAAGCAACTGCAGGCCGGGTTAGTACTTGGATGGGTGACCGCCTGGGAATTCCCGGTGCCGTATCCTTTTGCAAATTATTTGTCAACCAACGGATCCTTTCTATTCTTGAGACTCGGGTGACACTTTTTTAAGGGGAAAAAGGCCCCTTTTCTGTTCTCAAAGGAAAGGAACGAAATGCTGTCGACAATATCCAGAGCACTCTGATGAAGTATGGGCAGCATCGAGCTGCATCTCAAACACGTCCAATTACATCCCTTTTAAGGTGGCTAATGGAAAAGGCCATTATCGGCAACATGAGATGGTCATGTGACCACTTTGGCGTTGAGCCGTGCTATCTTGTGACCTTCACGTGTCTCATTACTTGCCGCTCTGGAGGCTAGCAAGGAAAGATTCTGATAATTTCCATGGATCCGCGCAAGGAAAGAGCTAGGTTGACATACAAATAGGCCTAGCACCACTCAATCGGCAGTTTTAATACTTTCAACACTACTATATAACAAATAATTTGAGGTAAGATTAAGTTCCAATGTGTAACTGGTTCTCTCCGGAGACCAGACCTCACATCTTTTGGTAAGCCTTCCACAAGGAGGGCTCTAATAAATGATGCAATAATAAAGATAGAAAGCTCCCAATGTATCCCGACAGCCATCTCCGAGTCGGGTCTGATTACGTTTAAAGTTTTGTGATCACAACCAAAAAGTAGCCAATCTTGTTACAATCAAGTGCTAATCGCCATGAACCTAATTTTCGAAGTAAATGTAATTTCTAAAAAGTGCCTACCTTTGCTTATGAGAAACTGCGTGATATCAAGACGTTTGTTCTGTGCTGCTTCGTGTAGAGCTCTTTTACCTGTCTTGTTAAAGCACTCCATATAGTCACCTGACAGTAAACATTAGTGAGTCACCTGACAGTTAACATTAGTGAGTCACTTGACAGTTAACATTACTGAGTCACTTGACAGTAAACATTAGTGAGTCACCTGACAGTAAACATTAGTGAGTCACCTAACAGTAAACATTAGTGAGTCACCTAACAGTAAACATTAGTGAGTCACCTGACAGTTATCATTAGTGAGTCACTTGACAGTAAACATTAGTGAGTCACCTGACAGTAAACATTAGTGAGTCACTTGACAGTAAACATTAGTGAGTCACTTGACAGTAAACATTAGTGAGTCACCTGACAGTTAACATTAGTGAGTCACCTGACAGTTAACATTAGTGAGTCACCTAACAGTAAACATTAGTGCGTCACCTGACAGTTATCATTAGTGAGTCACTTGACAGTAAACATTAGTGAGTCACCTGACAGTAAACATTAGTGAGTCACTTGACAGTAAACATTAGTGAGTCACTTGACAGTAAACATTAGTGAGTCACTTGACAGTAAACATTAGTGAGTCACCTGACAGTAAACATTAGTGCGTCACTTGACAGTTAACATTAGTGAGTCACCTGACAGTAAACATTAGTGAGTCACCTGGCAGTTAACATTAGTGAGTCACTTGACAGTAAACATTAGTGAGTCACCTGACAGTTAACATTAGTGAGTCACTTGACAGTAAACATTAGTAAGTCACCTGACAGTAAACATTAGTGAGTCACTTGACAGTAAACATTAGTGAGTCACCTGACAGTAAACATTAGTGAGTCACTTGACAGTAAACATTAGTGAGTCACTTGACAGTAAACATTAGTGAGTCACTTGACAGTAAACATTAGTGAGTCACCTGACAGTAAACATTAGTGAGTCACTTGACAGTAAACATTAGTGAGTCACTTGACAGTAAAATTAGTGAGTCACCTGACAGTAAACATTAGTGCGTCACTTGACAGTTAACATTAGTGAGTCACTTGACAGTTAACATTAGTGAGTCACCTGACAGTAAACATTAGTGAGTCACCTGACAGTTAACATTAGTGAGTCACCTAACAGTTAACATTAGTGAGTCACCTGACAGTTAACATTAGTGAGTAACTTGACAGTTAACATTAGTGAGTCACTTTACAGTGAACATTAGTGAGTCACTTGACAGTAAACATTAGTGAGTCACTTGACAGTGAACATTAGTGAGTTACCTGAAAGTTAACATTAGTGAGTCACCTGATAGTTAACATTAGTGAGTCACCTAACAGTTAACATTAGTGAGTCACCTGACAGTTAACATTAGTGAGTCACCTGACAGTTAACATTAGTGAGTCACTTTACAGTGAACATTAGTGAGTCACTTGACAGTGAACATTAGTGAGTTACCTGACAGTTAACATTAGTGAGTCACCTGATAGTTAACATTAGTGAGTCACCTAACAGTTAACATTAGTGAGTCACCTGACAGTTAACATTAGTGAGTCACTTGACATGACAGTAAACATTAGTGAGTAACCTGACAGTTAACATTAGTGAGTCACTTTACAGTGAACATTAGTGAGTCACTTGACAGTAAACATTAGTGAGTCACTTGACAGTGAACATTAGTGAGTTACCTGACAGTTAACATTAGTGAGTCACCTGATAGTTAACATTAGTGAGTCACCTAACAGTTAACATTAGTGAGTCACCTGACAGTTAACATTAGTGAGTCACCTGACAGTTAACATTAGTGAGTCACTTTACAGTGAACATTAGTGAGTCACTTTACAGTGAACATTAGTGAGTCACTTGACAGTAAACATTAGTGAGTCACTTGACAGTGAACATTAGTGAGTTACCTGACAGTTAACATTAGTGAGTCACCTGATAGTTAACATTAGTGAGTCACCTAACAGTTAACATTAGTGAGTCACCTGACAGTTAACATTAGTGAGTCACCTGACAGTTAACATTAGTGAGTCACTTTACAGTGAACATTAGTGAGTCACTTGACAGTGAACATTAGTGAGTTACCTGACAGTTAACATTAGTGAGTCACCTGATAGTTAACATTAGTGAGTCACCTGACAGTAAACATTAGTGAGTCACCTGACAGTAAACATTAGTGAGTAACTTGACAGTTAACATTAGTGAGTCACCTGACAGTAAACATTAGTGAGTCACCTGACAGTAAACATTAGTGCGTCACTTGACAGTAAACATTAGTGCGTCACTTGACAGTTAACATTAGTGAGTCACCTGACAGTAAACATTAGTGAGTCACCTGACAGTTAACATTAGTGAGTCACCTAACAGTTAACATTAGTGAGTCACCTGACAGTTAACATTAGTGAGTAACTTGACAGTTAACATTAGTGAGTCACTTGACAGTAAACATTAATGAGTCACTTGTCAATAAACATTAGTGAGTCACCTGATAGTAAACATTAGTGAGTCACTTGACAGTAAACATTTGTGAGTCACTTGACAGTAAACATTAGTGCGTCACTTGACAGTTAACATTAGTGAGTCACCTGACAGTTAACGTTAGTGAGTAACTTGACAGTTAACATTAGTGAGTCACTTTACAGTGAACATTAGTGAGTCACTTGACAGTAAACATTAGTGAGTCACTTGACAGTAAACATTAGTGCGTCACCTGACAGTTAACATTAGTGCGTCACCTGACAGTAAACATTAGTGAGTAACTTGATAGTGAACATTACTGAGTCACCTGACAGTAAACATTAGTGAGTCACCTGACAGTAAACATTAGTGAGTCACTTGACAGTAAACATTAGTGAGTCACCTGACAGTAAACATTAGTGCGTCACTTGACAGTTAACATTAGTGAGTCACCTGACAGTAAACATTAGTGAGTCACCTGACAGTTAACATTAATGAGTCACCTAACAGTTAACATTAGTGAGTCACCTGACAGTTAACATTAGTGAGTAACTTGACAGTGAACATTAGTGAGTCACCTGACAGTTAACATTAGTGAGTCACCTGATAGTTAACATTAGTGAGTCACCTAACAGTTAACATTAGTGAGTCACCTAACAGTTAACATTAGTGAGTCACCTGACAGTTAACATTAGTGAGTCACTTTACAGTGAACATTAGTGAGTCACCTGACAGTTAACATTAGTGAGTCACCTGATAGTTAACATTAGTGAGTCACCTAACAGTTAACATTAGTGAGTCACCTGACAGTTAACATTAGTGAGTCACTTTACAGTGAACATTAGTGAGTCACTTGACATGACAGTAAACATTAGTGAGTAACCTGACAGTTAACATTAGTGAGTCACTTTACAGTGAACATTAGTGAGTCACTTGACAGTAAACATTAGTGAGTCACTTGACAGTGAACATTAGTGAGTCACTTGACAGTAAACATTAGTGAGTCACTTGACAGTAAACATTAGTAAGTCACCTGACAGTAAACATTAGTGCGTCACTTGACAGTTAACATTAGTGAGTCACCTGACAGTTAACATTAGTGAGTCGCCTGACAGTGAACATTAATGAGTAACTTGACAGTTAACATTAGTGAGTCACCTGACAGTAAACATTAGTGAGTCACCTGACAGTTAACATTAGTGAGTCACCTAACAGTTAACATTAGTGAGTCACCTGACAGTTAACATTAGTGAGTAACTTGACAGTTAACAACCCAGCTCAAGATTTATGCGAGATTGCGAGCCGGACTCATCGCACAAAATTTGTAAATAAATGAGGAAACAGAAAAAGTTTAACTTAAAAGTTGAGGGAATTAGGAACTTAACATGTATTTTATATGTACTCTTAACGTGTATTTTATCACTTGTTTATAGCGTGAAAACTTCGACGTAACGCGCGCGAGATTTTTGCCAGATTTTTGCGAGTTTCGTTTAAATCTCATAGCTAGGCTCACAATATCGTGAGATTCTCCGCGAGATTTCGGCACCCTCTTTCAGCACTACATATTCGGTCGCGCGCTTGCATTTTCATCGCTTTTCAGCGTGTTTATTCACTGTACTGTCTAAGTCTTAAAGGATACTAGTTGTTATAAGATCAAGATTCACAGTGGTTACTATAGTTACCATGGTTACCATTAAAGGAGGTACTATTCCTGGCTATATTCTTTCTCAGAATATACTTGATACTGCCATAGGCATAGTGAATATTTCTTCATTAAAAGTTTGAGAAAGGGTCTCTTCAACTGGAGAACTGACTTATTAATCCTAGCAGGTAATTAACTCTGGATCCTCATCACATTGATTCCATTCTAAATTCTAGCCATAAACAAAACAAACATTACCAGATAACTCCGTTTACAATAATTTGACATGTTCCAGTGTGAACGAGGCCTTCCCCGGACAAATCCTTAAATGCCGGTCTTCTCAGTCTCTTAGTTCTCTAGATGAAGTACGAACAGTATAATCTATCGGATAACGTATATTACAAGGTGCTCTGATGATAATTTTAGTAAAATAATTAATAATTGCCAAAAGAATGACCGCCGACGAGACTCGAACCAGAGTCAACTGCTTGACGAGCGCGCCCTCAACCATCGTGCTACGTGAGGCTTACCATAATTACAATATGTAACATAATACAATTCATGAAAATACGCACGTAAATTTTTCGTTATTTATGGATCCAATAACAGTGACATACTTTTCGCTTACAAAGGGACTCGCGAAATCTTTTTAAATAGAAAATAATTTGTGGGGCAAGAAATCTTGCAGGCTGGAGGGGGGGGGGGGGGTGGGGAGTACATTTCGTGAAAATCGCACTTCTAGTGTCAAAATCCAATCTCATCGCACTTTTTTTAGAATCTTGATAGGGGGTTAACAATAGTGAGTAACCTGATAGTAAACATTGGTGAGTAACCTGACAGTGAACATTAATGAGTCACTTGACAGTAAACATTAGTGAGTCACCTGACAGTCAACATTAGTGAGTCACCTGACAGTTAACATTAGTGCGTCACCTGACAGTTAACATTAGTGAGTTACCTGATAGTTAACATTAGTGAGTCGCCTGACAGTGAACATTAGTGAGTAACTTGACAGTTAACATTAGTGAGTCACCTGACAGTTAACATTAGTGAGTCACTTGACAGTTAACATTAGTGAGTCACCTAACAGTTAACATTAGTGAGTCACCTGACAGTTAACATTAATGAGTCACTTGACAGTAAACATTAGTGAGTAACCTGACAGAATTCAGAAAAGATTGGTTAGTTACGTTTCGTTGACATACCTTATCGGACGTTTAAATTTGACTGGGCATTGCGTGAACGGACATTAAAATTAACGCTAAAAGGCATCCATTTAATGTATTTAATTTAACTACCTTGTCGGGCTTTATTTGAACAGACATTAAAAATGAACGCTAGGGCCTCCAGCGTCCAATTAATGTATGTTCAAATAAAGTCCGATCCGATTATGTAGAAATAAAACAGGATTTATCAACTAAGTCCCTAAAATACTCACTCCCAAAGTGGTCGAGTAAGGTCCGCACTACGTTGAGGTGTCCATGTTTAGCAGCTAAGATAAGCAAGGTGTCTTTATTCTTGTTAGAGCAGCTCGTGCAGCCTTCTCCTTTACACAGGGCTTCCTAGGGGTGTCGCAGTTAAAATAGAATCGTATGTGAAATCTAGTTGAGGCCCTTAGGTAAGAACTTTGGAACTCGATAAAGTTCAGTGTTTATTGTAATTAATTATTTAAAGCGTATCTTAGAAAGTTAGAATACAACGTCGTCAACTACTAGCAAAAACGTCAACTACTAGCAAAAACGTGTTAAGTATAAGAAACGTTTAGAAAGCCCGCAAAGTTTCACTGCCACCCTGGCCCTGGCCTCCCTCTCCAAGTCTCCAACATCGACTGCTGCCTTGAATCAGTTGTGAGTTTAGTTATCTTAGATATAGAATACAACCGATCTTGTGAGATAAGAAAATGGGAGTTCCAGTTTGGGTGTAAAGATACAAAGATATCAGCGTACTAAAAATTGATTTATGCAACATATGGGGAGAAAGCCGATCACCTAACCCTTTACTCTGGTCGTATTACTTTAAAAAAGCATCTATGATTTTGAAACATGTTTGAAGAAACAAGAGAGACCCTCACGTTCGAGCGAGAAAAATATTCAAGGTGGAAATACGATAGGAGGGCAAAAATTGCCATTTTCTCATTTTGGCGTTTAAAACGCTAAACTAGAGAGAAAAGACTGTAAATAAGCTACATTTTACCTGAAGTAGCATTGCACGTCCCTTTGAGGCAAGATTCAGTAGTTTGTCTGACTGACACGTTTCTTTACAATTCATTTCTTTATCTGTGAGAAGGGATGGTTATTAATTAAGAGCAATTCCATTGTCTAACGATATGGGATATCGCAATCCACTTCTTTAACGATTTGACGTGAAGATGCAATGGCGGAAATGCAACGCGGCTTGCCACGACACGACAGTCTAGTAGCAAGTAGGAATTTAATTGTGAAGATGGCCGCAGTATTTCAATTAGAATTTACTGCAGGTTTTTAAAGCAGTGAAAAAAACCAGTAGCAGCAAGGATTAGCCGCTCAGCTATTTCAGTTTAACGACGGTACAACTGACAACGTTGCAGAGGATAACGATGAAAAGGGGAACGAACAATTTAATGAGAAGCGGGTGTTTTGAATTGGAAATGCTGAAATTAACTTAGTTGTGGTGTGATTGAAAAGGAAAGTAATGGAGAGCAGCTCACCTTGACACCTTGGCCTTCGTAGCTTCATTTTGAATGGCAGATCTAGATTAGAGATCCATAAGCAATATGGAAAGGACATGTTCCTCAGGTAACTTTGATTCTAAGTTAGAACGAGAGCTCTCATCAGCAATAAAAGTGTAGAGTAAATACTATTAGGGGCTCCACGCAAGAACATAGGTTTCGACACGCGTGCACGAGCGACGGAAATGAATTAAATGACGCGAAAATTGGGCACACGCGCCTCACGCGTGAGAATATCTTACCGCGCCCAGGGCAAATAGCCCTGAGGGCCATGCTCAATAACGTGGCTGCGCGGCACCCTGTACGCACGCACGCACTTATTGCGCCGACTAAGGTCGAGGTGATGAGGCTTAAAATTGACATAGCTGTTTTGCACCGCGCGCTACACAACATACAGATTCTCACAGTGACCAGCACACCACGCCAAGTCAACGAAACAAGCTATCATGATTTGAAATGTGAGGGGAGGTTTTAACATTCATTATGTTTAATCCAACGTACCTGTAAATGCTTCACGATAGTGTAAAAGAGATCACAATGTTGACATTCACCTAGATGATACTGAAGGTTACAGAGAATTCTAACTGTTATTCGATACTGTTGACTTAGGCTTCGGTTATACATGTCAGTACATGAGTACACTATGAACTAGGAATTGAATGTGCTAGGAATTGAATCATATTGAATTTTATCCACCCCCTTTATTAACATGTTGATTGAAAGCAATGAAAGAACGTAGCATTTTAAAATGAACGACATTTCAATAAATAGTCGAACTTACAAAAGAGAAACTGAACAGTCAAGAATAAATTACAACAGTTAAAATATCATATCCCTGATCGTGTAAAATAAAACCCAAAAGTTTAAATTTAATGATCTAAAATATCATCTCTCAAGAAAGTCCAGTCGCAGTAAAAAAGCATTCCATAGCTCCCTGCAGTTTCATGTAGCGTTCTTGTACCTTTATTTCAAATTTCAGTCGTTTGTTCAGCTTTTCAAATAATTTGTCAATTGCAGGTGACATTCCAAGAACAGGTGAGTATAAATCTGAAATAGGGAGGTTAGATAAGGGGCGTAACAACTTTTTGTACGTTAAATTGGCTGGGATATGGTACATCTTGCTGTCAAATCGGACGAAATTTCGTGAAAGAGCTATAAATTGGGAAAATAGCGCATTAAACTAGGCTCTCTGTCCTCTAACATTTGTCTCACAATTATAGCTTTTAACCCTGGGCCTGGTTAAGCTACCTAAGAAGGCTAGGTTGAGAAACTAGACTTCTATTAAAGTAAAGATATAATGTTAATATCAACTAACACAACAGAACCCCTCACCTGCAAGAATGTGAGCAACATCACAGAGAACACTACAATATCTTGGATTAGTCACGTGAGCAACAAGGAACGTCAGGATTGGCTGTAATGTCTCCTCATTACGTCCTGACAGTACCCGCTTCATCGTGTCACGGCGGAACAGCTCCTGTATTACTGATACCACTATATCTGGACCGTGTCGACTCTGTGGGATTGGAGTGGTTATAGCCATGGTAACAGTGGTGGTAACCATGGTACTGTTAACAGTGGTGAGGTATTAGACCGTGCTAACTGATCATTTCAGAAAAAAGGTAATATTAGACAAATCCTAGCGAAGTAATATAAGATTATTTGGTACAATGTTAGGCAGAGAAGGCTATAAACATTATTTTGTACAAATTTAACATCATTTACGTAGCAGAGTAAACCCTATAATTAATACACACCTTAACAACGTGATCAAAAGCCTCGGTGTACTGGAATCGTTTTAGATGTAAGTCGTACTGAGCGAGTTTAGTCCTCTTAGTTTCCTTCTCTCCTGACACTGCATCTTTCTGAAATGTAACCCTTAGTAACACACCTTAGTAACCAACCTTAGTAGCACTTCTCAATATTTTCAACCTCTTGTTATCGAAACGCCCGATAATCTTTAACTGAGCTAAACTAAGCTACCATTATTGATTAACAACTAACAAATAATCAATGTTCTATGACAATATAACCTTAGCAATTAACAATTCTGAAGAGCTAATTAAGGCGACCTACCTTGGCAGGAGGGATGTTCTTGCCCCTAGCAAAGTAACCACCAGATCCTGGGTTGATAGCAGAGAGGGGGCGTTTAGTAGGGACAGGGGCAGGAGAAGGGTGCTCCCTGATGTGAACTATACCGTCACTACAGCCCACTATCAGGTGACTATTCTTAGCCTGCAGGTAGTTAGGGTAGTTGTTATACAGTTATACTCAGTGTTCACATTATCATAACACATTGTTACATTGAGTAGGTATTATCTAGGGTTGGATTACGGGTAGAAGTGTGAAAGTGATACAGTAACCATGACTACAGCAGGATTTGGGAATTGTTAAAATTTAGACTGTTGGAGCTGTGAAAGCTATATTCCAGATTTCAACTATTTGGAGATTATACAGCGATGTTTCATGATGTGACGCAATGTAAAGAAATTAGTACAGTTTCCTTATGTTGTGAGTACAAAGGAATTTGAGATGGAAATTTGTTGAATGGAACTATACAATACACATCCCTTCAAAATCTCAGAAGTAATTTTGATACTTTTAATTAAAACTTACCAGGAAGCTACAAAAATAAAAAGTAATTGTTCAGTTTCATCTCATATACAATCATAAATATCGTGATCATGAGTTACATAACATTACGAACATTACACAATTCGTGACACAACAAAATAATAAATAACTAAATAGTGAAACAGTGAATTAGTGAAATGGCAAAATAGTGAAACAGTTAAATAGTGAAACAGTTAAATAGTGAAATAGTGAAACAGTTAAACAGTGAAATATAAATTACCGTGGTTCCTACAGAGAGCACAGGAGCAGAGTACTTGATGGAGTGTGTAACTTTGTAAGAGCTCAAGTCGTACATCTTTACTTGGCTGTGGGATAACATGGTCAATATGTTATAACATGTGTATTATAATATATAAAATATTATGTATAACATATGATTAATATATAACATATTATGTATAATATATGTTTAATATATAACATATTATGTATAATATATGTTTAATTTATGTTTTAATACGGACCTCTGGTTGAAATGTTTGGTAGAGCACAGCATACTTTAATTTCAGACATTATTGAATCCAATAGTAGGTATTATGCAATACAAGATGAGATAGAGTTGTATAATGTTATGAAAAATAGTGAGTTCTACTACGACAATAAACACGTCTTTCATAAAACGCAAATGCATGATCATAAGCTAACCTATACGGCACATTTCTTTAAAATGATCATATCAAATTCATTAAATCAAGAAACAATTAACTGTAATTCAGACTGACTGATCAAGTGAAGCTGAAAGCAGCCTAGTGTTAGTGTAGTCGAGAGCGAGACACGTGATAGTCTTCTGGTGATTAGAGAGGGTGGTGAGCAGCGCACCCGACCTGTGTACATCCCACACCTTTATCTTGTTGCTGCCTGTGGGAGGAGGGGGATTACACAGGATTACACAGGATTACACAGGATTACACAGGATTACACAGGATTACACAGGATTACACAGGATTACACAGGATTACACAGGATTAAAATTAAATGATAGGTCCACTATCGTGAACCGTCATAATTGTTTACAGAATTGGATAGGTAAATAAATTATTAAAAACATTCTCAGCTTTGTTTGAAACCGTCATAATTGTTTGTAGGGGGTGTCACGTGGTGCTAATACTATGGGAAATATCATAATAATATGCTATTATTATGAGAAATACAGACTAAATGGTATTGTATACTGAAAACGCTAATTAGCCACAGATTACAACATATTATTACGGTGTTACTAAAACGAGAGTTTTTTAAACCACATATAGCCGGTCACCAATTTGGACATAAACCGTCTTTTTGACATCAAAACAGTATTACAACAAATCCAATCAACTACCTTAATAATACGTTTTATAATACTTTCAACACTACTATATAACAACAGGCTCTAATGATGTAGTTTTACGAAGATTTCAAGCCTTACGTTGTGTGTTTCCCTTCGTGTCCAAAAGCATTACCTTGATAATAAATGTTTATTGTTTATAATATGCTGTTAATCATTACCTGAGCTGATAGCAATGCCCCCAGTTGGTAAAACCACAATACTTTCCACAGGGTACCCGTGATCCATGGTCAGTGTGCACTCTCCACTTCTCTTATCCCACATCTTAACTGTGTGGTCGTAACTCCCTGTGTTAAACCCACGTGTTAAACCCACGTGTTAAACCCACGTGTTAAGCCCACGTGTTAAACCCACGTGTTAAACCCACGTGTTAAACCCACGTGTTAAACCCACGTGTTAAATATTCGGTGGTATACTTCATTACAATATGACATGATTAATGAATTTCGAAGGATTAACCATATTTGGTTTGAGAGGGTTGTACTAATCATATGCTAATTATATGTTAATTATATGTTAATTATATGTTAATTATATGTTAATTATATGTTAATCATATGTTGATATGTTACTTATATTATGGCAATAACAAAGTGGGATATGACTCACCAGAGAACCAGATATCAGGACACATAGCTACAGTAGCAGCAGATCTGATGTAATCATCGTGTCCCTTCATACACAACACCTCGTCACCTGCAGGAACCAACTGTTATATTAATTAATTAATTAGCTAATATATTAATTAACTAATTAGTAATTATGGGTACTACAAAACAGAACCGGTATCGGCTACTGATACTGCAGACAAGAAAAAGGATTTTAATAAGTTAAGTTCGTTTAAATTTTCACCATACAGCACCACTGAGAACTGTGAGTTTGAACTGTGCACAGTTTCATTCATCGATGATAACATGCCCTCCCTGATCAATACTTTTTAACGCATCCAAAATATTGATTAAAAACAATTATATGAACAGTTAAGGTTGATCAGCTGGAAGGTCAATTTCCTATTGCTGACTTGTTGTCTTGTTTAATAATTTTCCGTCTGGGAGTACGATAATTACCTGCAACTGATAACTGTTATCTTTTAAGTAAACGGTGTTTCGATCAGGGAACGGAAAAGTGCAAAAAAAACTGTTAAAATACTCCCAATCCATATTAAGTCATGGTTATTGGGGAGAGATCAGGACAAATTCGGGTGAAAAATTCTTATTCCTCTGATTAAGAGGGTAGAAATATAATCGGAAAAGAGCTTATCGCTCTCAGCCTAATTATACGAGTTTCCGTTACATTAAGTTTTCCCCCTCTTAAACCCTAAATTGTCTGTTCAATAAAGAACGATCCTCATTTTATTCATTTTCCTGAACTTTTTGTTACGTTTCTATAACTTTCCTTTACTCTTGACTGTATCCGTAAATTAAATTCTCTATAGGGTCTATACGATTATCTAATCAATTCGCAATAAAAGATTTATGCTATATTTAATTGTTTCAGCACTTAACAATATGATTATATTCAGATTTACTGAAATGTCTCGACTGTTCGTGGTGCTAGGACTACTGGCTGTTTCACTTTTTAACCTCGGCGAAGCTCACCGGTACAAGTCCCCAAAATACAGGCAACATTTCAACATAAAACAAGAGGCAGAAGGGAGTTTCACCCGCGAAGAGGCGGATGGCTACAAAGAATGTGAGGAGTACCTGGCAGATCCAGATAACGAAGATCTTTACGAAAACGCTGCAAACGAAACTGGTACTGCCCCAAATGGGCAACATCATCTGCTGAGACGTCACAAACCAAAGCCGGCTGCACAGATTTGCAACAACAAGGAGTGCCCGGTGTTTGACGAACTCGAGTCTGCTGGATGCGGGTATGAAACGCGACTGCTTGCACGTGCAAACTGGACCACCACAATGGTGGATCTGGACCGACCAGAGGGTTTTAGGGAGGCGTACATTCGGCTGTACCGCTACAGTAGTGGAGACAACAACGATCGTGGGGAGAAGATGTCCTTTCTCTCACCCGTCGTGGAGAGATATTGGCTCGACCAGAACGGCGAAGTCGTGAATGCTAGGCTGCTTGTTTACATTCCTCAACAGTTTCAGAGCAACCCTCCGGCATCCACTATCAAGGAAGTGTGGGTCCACGAATATCCTGACTATAAACTGTACATACGGGCGTTCGGGGGGTACAGGGAGGATCCTGAGTACTTCAACCAGTTCGCTTTACTGAAATCAGCACTGGAACGGGATAACATTACTCCTTTTCCTTACATGAGGTTAACTGCTGGTTGGACTCATCATGGATTCGGGAGGCAACGCATGGAAGCCATTCTGGTGGACGACGCCTACATGTGATGGACAGTTTGGGTTCAAGTTTCACATATTATTTAAGTTCATTAAGAAACTCTATTTTAACTAAAAATAATTCTGATCTTACCATGATTGTGTCGGTTTGTGAGTTTTGAATTCCGGCCTGAACTAAATCATTTTGCAGGCCAAGAATGAGATTCCTTGTTATCTTGATTGGCTCGGGCGGATTGGTTCAAATAACTTATTGGACACTTATTTATTTTTTTCCTTTTGGATACATAATTGTATAAATAATTTTGTCGTTTTCTTTCTTGAGTCACTTGGGAAGTTTTTAATATCAACAAAATCAAAACTAAATGTTACATCTATATCTATAATAAATCAAATTTGCAAGTGGGCATTTAGACAAACAGAATTATAACATGAACCTTCTACTTGAATACCCTACCTGTAGGGAGGTCCCAGCACCTGAGAGTACCTTCTACTTGAATACCCTACCTGTAGGGAGGTCCCAGCACCTGAGAGTACCTTCTACTTGAATACCCTACCTGTAGGGAGGTCCCAGCACCTGAGAGTACCTTCTACTTGAATACCCTACCTGTAGGGAGGTCCCAGCACCTGAGAGTACCTTCTACTTGAATACCCTACCTGTACATGTAGGGAGGTCCCAGCACCTGAGAGTACCTTCTACTTGAATACCCTACCTGTAGGGAGGTCCCAGCACCTAAGAGTACCTTCTATTTGAATACCCTACCTGTAGGGAGGTCCCAGCACCTGAGAGTACCTTCTACTTGAATACCCTACCTGTAGGGAGGTCCCAACACCTGAGAGTACCTTCTATTTAAATACCCTACCTGTAGGGAGGTCCCAACACCTGAGAGTACCTTCTATTTGAATACCCTACCTGTAGGGAGGTCCCAGCACCTAAGAGTACCTTCTATTTGAATACCCTACCTGTAGGGAGGTCCCAGCACCTGAGAGTACCTTCTACTTGAATACCCTACCTGTAAGGAGGTCCCAGCACCTGAGAGTACCTTCTATTTAAATACCCTACCTGTAGGGAGGTCCCAGCACCTGAGAGTCTTATCATCAGCCCCACTGAGCAGGTGAGTGTTGTCCTGGTCGAACTGTGTCACGTGACAAGGACGCACGTGACCTGTCAGCTGACGTAATGTAGACCTGGTCCCCACTTCAAACACCTGCACAGGAAACGTTACGTATTGTCAAGTTTTTAACTTTATAGTTTTTATTAAGAGTTTGGTTTTGACTATTATCACCTCAGCTAACACTAAAACTGCAAAATCATAAGCAATATCACTAATATAAGATGTTACAAATTATTAGCTTATCTGATATGGAATAAGTTAAAAGGATAACTAAAGTACAGTAATATATTATAACCTGTATAATATATTACTAATTAATTATTTAATTAATTGATTAATTAGTATTATAACCTGTATAGAGTTGTCCTCGGACCCAGCTACAACCAGTTTACCGTCCCGTCTGATGCAGCCTGAGTAAGCTGTCTTCTTGAACCTACTGATACTCTGTTGAACAGCGTTAGTCTTTACACTGTACACATTCACCTGGTTAGTACACTGTTAACACACAGCACAACAACACACATTGTAACACTGTTAACAGTTAACACAGCATTTTAATGGCAACTTCAAACTCATTACCAGGTTAACTTCGAAACAGATCGAAAGGCCGTCGGGAAGATCTGGTCGAAATCAGATAACATGACATCATACTGTCATAGTCGGTTAAAAATAAGATCTTAGTACTATACTTAGTACTATGTATGGTAATTGGTAGTATACTTTGTCCTCTTTGTAACAGTATACCTTGGTGCCCGAAGTAACAGTGTAGTAGTAAGGAGCTTCATGGGAGAATGACAGGTGTGAGACAGAGCCAAACTCTTTGATAGCAGCTGCGAACTGAAAATAAACAAGAGTTCTCAAGGTACACAAATTAAAAAGAGTTTAAATACATGACTTGTGGCGAATTATTCTGAGATGAATTTTTCAGTTAACTTTTGTCACAGGAGCAACGTAACAAAATTGCAATATTTATTAATCAGAGCACTGATAAACACCTGATAAAGACGTTCCCTGAGAAGGTTTCCAGGCTACTCAAGTGTACCGATGATTAATAACGGTGGCTACCCAAGTTGGTTTGTTGCGGAAACTAATATATAACAATACTAAGCTTAATAACTTGATATTGTAGTACAGTAATCGGTCATGATAAATGATAATGCATGGTCACTATTGTTGTTATGATTTGGGTCCAATGAAATATGTTCAGGAGCAATCTAACATTCATTGAAAGCACTGTATGAAAGACTACGGAACTTTTGAAACTATTTGAAACTGAAAGTTTTAAGCATGAAAGTAATGACTATTGTCAATCCCATATTATATCAAAATGATAAATAAAAATGTGATTTGGCAATAAATACCTTAAATTTCTTCCAGAATCTTTCCTCAGGAGTTGATTTTGACAATATTTTAGTATTTTCTTTGATAATCAGTTTCTTTAAATCTGCCATTCTACCTGTTGAAAAGTAGTATTAGATTGATGAAATGAGAGGCTGTAAAACATCTGAAGCAAAACATCAGCTGTTACTCAGATCAGAGTGGGTAAATGACAGCAGTTTCAATTGCGATTTTTACTAAAACAGTCAAAATATGTCACATCAAGAAAATGAAAAATTAAAGTTTCGAGGACTTATGTGAAATCCAAAAAATTCTGTATAAGTATCACAAAAATAAAACGGTCAAATTCATTTAACATTATATGATGTCCTTCTAGGCGTGGCTAATCGAGTCAAAATACAAAAATAATAATTGCTTGTGTAGGAAATGAGCTTTAATCCAAGATCGTCCAACTTAAATCTTTATAGTCGAAGTTAAGATAAAAAGTATGAGCTAATCCTGATTTAAGAATTTATCATTATCAAGTAGACACTAATTATGGTTATATCTAAAACTATCTCACATTATAAACTAATCAGATAAAGATAAGATATGCTACTACTGTTTACTCTATAAGATATGCTACTAGTCGAACTTTTTCTGATCCATCAGTCAAACTAAAAGTAGCCACATTTTCATTAAACTCGACACTACCATCTTTGCTCAAAAACATATCTAACTTTTCGCATTCTTTCCCATGAAAAGCAACGTAACCCCACTTCCAATAAGTTCTCGTTTTATCGCAAATTGGTTTACTACACCACGAAATAGGGAGAAATGTGGACTCATCAGCATTTTCATCAGCAGCGATAACTTCCAAGGCAAAATGTAATTTTGGCATGTGGTGATATCCGTGCCGATTTGTGTCATGCTGTTCTAACTTCATCTTTTTCTTTTGGCGATTCTCTATCAAAACGAACTTCATGCTAAACGTGTCAGGGTCGTCTCCGATCATAGCAGTTGTAGAAAAAACAAAATTCATGTCCTTATACTTCGCTTCTGTCTTAAACTCGTATGAAGAGTTATGACGGAAATATTTCTCCACAAAATCTCCAGCCGTGATGTAATCACAAAACACAATCGTTCTGGGTTGAATAGAGACAAGGCCATTAATACAGTTTCTTACGTTATCAATTAATGGCATTAAGTGATCTGAGTTTGCACTATCGATACGGTTAACATAATTATAGTTCATCCTGCCCCAGCAGTGTTCATCTTTGATAGCAACAATTTTCTCTGCTATGTCGTCAGGGACTTTACAACTACCCCCAAAAAAATCTTCTTGGAATAATCTACACCATAGTCCATCAAACAATGTATACAAACTGTCAACTCTTGGATTTGAAGCAAGTTTATACAGCACAAATTCAAAGTCGGTGTAAGAAAGGAAATCTTTTGGAAATGGAAAAAGATCAAGTTCTACAGACGAATTTTGGTCGTGAGATTGACTGGTTGTTTGTCTATGTAGCGATACAAATAATTGATAGTCTTCCTTTTCAACATGTTCAATGTTTTCTAGTGTTGTAAACAGTTGAGCATGTATGTCTGGATGTTTTCCCAAGCAAACAGTTAAATCAACATTTCTTAAGAGATGTCTACTGTTTTCATCGAGGTTCTTGCGTCCTAGCTTTTCCAGATGTTCCAAAAGAATTTTTATTAATACATGGATCAAGTCCTGTTTCACGATAGTGATACATGTATTAATCTTGGCCTTTGAGCAGATTCCTAGATCAACCAAGTACTCAGTAATGAAACTACTCCTCATTTCAGTGGAAAAAACAAGGTTGATCTTCCTTGCCACCATGTGAAGGAGATCCTTCGTCTTCAGAGTAGACAGGACATACACAGCCTCCTCGACAGCAAACAATACATCAGAGTAACTACTATCACTATTCAGTCTCTCCAGGTACGACAAAAAGTACTGCTCACATTTGGCAACAAGCCAGTCAACCTTGAAGACATAGCCCATCTTATTGACTTCCCTGAAATTACCAACATTCAATGCCTCCACTTCTCCCGTGTAGGAAGCCTCAATGAAACAGTCCACTGCCTCCCTGCTAAAGTCATCAGCTTCAAGTGATGTCAGGTGAAGGTCTGTGGTCAGGTTATCAATAATTTGGCTGTTCAGGGACAATATAATGGAGTTTGCTTTGATCTGAACTCCTTCTCTGAGGTTGAAGGAGAGGTTACCGTGACTTGGTGCCCCAATGTGGTGTCTTCCAAAATCTGCTGGAACACAAACTTTGGGAGCCATTTGTAATCTTGCTAGAAGTAAAATGTTAGTGATGATAATCATGAACTAAAGTACTTAATTGGAATCATATAAATCATCACTTCTCACATTATTGAGTGTCTCCACAAGCATTCCAGTTATTGTGAGCTAAATCTTCGAATGGAGGAATAAAACATCAAGTCACAAGAACAAAATGTATATATAATAATATCAGTCATCAAAAACTATAAAACAAAACACAAAAACCAGTCATGAAATTTTAACTTTAAGTGACCATATTATATAGATCACATTTCTCTTGTGCAGGCAACAAGGTTACCAGGTTAAGGTTTTTTCTACCCATGCATCACGAAATTCGAATCATTTATGATATACCTAAATTATGACAGCGCTTTTCACCAACTATCTAACTATAGAACGGCTGTGCACAATAAATGATATTATATATTATAATATAAAACATCAATTTCTTTATACATACATTACATACATGTGCTACATGCTACATGAAGAGGTCTCCTCCTAGTCGTTGGAGTGGCCTGCACCACACACATCTCTTCTACGGTGTAGCATGTTCCTCCATTCCACTCGTTTTAGAGCTAACTGTTTTACTGCGTCTATGCTGATTTAATCGACACCTGTAAAGTCAGCCGCATCCTCGAGTACACAGGCCATCCAGCCTTTGCGGGGTCGTCCTCTCAGTCTCTTTCCATAGTTTGGTTTCCAATCCAGTAAAAAATTGGGAAACCGTGTCTCTGGCATTATGTCCAACGTGTCAATTTCTTTATAATTAATATAATTAATTATTAATGTTCTTTGTAAGTTTATATAATTATAATTTACAGTCTACATGATATGCTACCAGGCGACATGTCATGTCATTTTGAATATTGTAAACGTACGCAACACTTTCGTCTTTACTTTCGTCTTTACTTTCAATCTCATCTGACTTGTCTTCCTGGTGCTCGTAAAAGTCTATAATTCCCCAACTCCAAGTCTTGGGATCATCATAAGTTGGGTAACCACACCACGAAATAGGAATTATCCTTTTATAATACCTTAGTTCCCAAAAATTTGTGTGCCATTATATTGAGCACAATTTATTTGAGCCCGAAAAATTTGGGCAGAAAATTTGAACTCATTTGGGCGACCGAAAATTTGGGCACAAATTCTTCGAAAAATGAACGATTTTCCACTAAAATCATCTACAGCGCAGCCCCTGGACATATCTATCAATGGGCTGGCTAAGAAATTGATGCGCAATAAGTACGAAGATTGGTACGAGAAAAACATAGTGTGTCAGCTCAATGCAGGAGTTTCATCAGACAATGTGAAAATTTATTTAAAAGTGAGGCCAGATGACATAAGGAAAGGCTTTGAGAAGTCGGGTATAACTGATGCTTGTAGATCAGACTTTACGGTGGATGATAATCCATTTGCAGATCTTGTTTAAATCTCTAGCTATCCTTACCTCTAGCCATTTGTTTTATTAGTACCTGTTAGCTATTCCAGTTATTTCTATTCATTTAAAATATAAGCCTTTTTACTTGGTCAAGCCATGAATGACAGATTAGAAAACTAAAATTTCAAATATAATTTCACTTGGATATGAAGAAAAAGCCATCTTTCTATAGATTTCAGGGCCACAGGCCAAATGCCAAAAGTTTGGTTAGCAAAAAATTTAGCAGACGGAAAAGATTTATGCAATAAATTTGGTCTGCAAAAAATTTGGGCGAGAGGCCCGCTCAAATTTTTTGTTGCCCAAATTTTTGGGAATTAAGGTAATCTGTGTCTGTGGTCTCCAAAGCAATGTGCAATCGGGGCATTCGGTAAGATGTACTCAGTTTTGGATCAAGCAATTCCAACTTCATACTGAATGTCTCAGGTTTCTCTTCGAGCATGGCGGTCGTAGAAAAAACAAATTTGATATTTGCATAATCAGTATCAGATAACTCAAATTCAAATGATGAGTTTTGGCAGAAATATTTCGCCACAAAATCTTCAGCAGTGATAAAATCACCAAATGCAATACATCCGGTTTGATCAACTTCGAAAACTATTTCACTGCTAAGTGCCACCGGATCAATTAACAGCTGCAGATGTTCATCCCTCATAATATTTTCGACATATTCTTTATTGAGTTGGTCCCACCCACGCTCTGCTTTGACAGCTATAATTTTCGCTGACAGGTCTTCGGGGACTACATAATTGCCCTCTTGATATAATCTTAACCACAATCCATCAAAAAATTGGTATAAATTGTCAACTTTTGGATTTGAGGCAAGTTTACAGAACACTGTATAAAATTCAGTATTTGACTGAAAATCATTTGAAGAAGAAAGAAGGTCAAGCTCAATCACTGGACTTTGGTTTTGTGGTTGACTTGTTAATTGCTTACTTAAAGCTACAAACAATCGATAGTCCTCTTTTTCAACATTTTCAATACTTTCCAGTGTTGTAAACAGTTTTGCATGAACTTCAGGATCATTTCCGAAGCAAACTGTCAAATCAATGTTTTTTAAAAGATATCTACTGTTGTCATCAAGGCTCTTATGTCCTTGATTGTCCAGATGTGTCATCAAAATGTCTATCAATATATGAATCAAGTCCTCTTTGACGATGGCGATAGAAACATCTATCTTGATCTTTGAGCAGATCCCAAAATCAGACAGGTACTTGGTGATGAAATTGTCTCGCACAGCTGAAGAAAAAACATGTCTAATCTTTCTGACCACCAAGTTGAGAAGAACTCGTTTCTTCAAAGCATACATCAGATATTCAGCCTCTTCAGCAGCAAATAGTATATCAGGATAGGTGCTTGCATCGTCAAGTTTATCCAAGTACTTCACAAAGTAATCCTCACATCTGGCGACAAGCCAGTCAACTTTAAAAACATGTCCCATCTTGTTCACGTCCCTGAAATTACCAACATTTAAAGCCTCCACTTCCCCCGTGTAGGAAGCCTCAATGAAACAGTCCACTGCCTCCCTGCTAAAGTCATCAGCTTCAAGTGATGTCTGGTGAAGGTCTGTGGTTAAGTCATCAATAATTGGGCTGTTCAGGGAGAGTATAATGGAGTTTGCTTTGATCTGAACTCCTTCTCTCAGGTTGAAGGTGAGGTTACCGTGACTTGGTGCCCCAATGTGGTGTCTTCCAAAATCTGCTGGCACACAAACTTTAGGAGCCATTTGTATTTTGTAAACTTGCTAGAATTGGAATGATGGTTGTTAAATTGATTATTTATACTACCCCGGTGCTTAATTGGAATCATAATATTATGTAAGAATGATCAACAATCATAATCTTGAGATGCAGACAAACCGTTGCATAGGATCACTCCAATAGGCCCCCCCCCCTCCAATATCAATTAAAGCATCGTCATTAGGACAAATACATTTTTATAAGAGGTAGCATAGGTACTATATATCAACAAACATCAATTATCAAAAAACCACAAAAACAACAGTCATAAAACGTCAACTAACAAGAATTTCGCCGCGGTTAAACCACGCACGATCAATTTTCCCTACGATGTACTTGTATTTTGTACCATTAATTCTTTCGAGTGAAAAGTGTGACTGGAAAAAAGTGCAACATATTTATATACTATGTTTTAATAAATGAGTGGGATTCGCGCATGGTAAAAATTGACGATTTATTTGACCAATGTAGCGCCGCGCGCATCAACAATAAATAATCCAGAAAATTGCGGAAAATAACTTTGCGAAGGAGGAACGTCACTGTAATTAATTTACACATGGCTAGCGTCGCGCGCAGCATAACAGACGCTTCCAATACACATAAATATAGGGGAGTGGTCTATATTGCAAAGGAGCAGACTTTTGTCGTCAACGTAGGACCGTCGGGCCACCTCATATATCCAAAACCGGTTACTTATTCCCTATGATCTTTTTGCCTTTGGCAAGAGCAGGGAAAAAAATTAAAATAAAAGCTAGAGTAAGACATCATGCACCTGAACACAGCAGTCAGAAGAGCAAGTAACCACCCTGCCCCCCTCACACACTAGTCCCCTCTATAGAACCCTGGTGGACCCTCTCATTAAATATCACTCCACCACTCACCACATCTCTCAGTATCAGGTACCCGTTCTCAGATCCACATGCCACCGTTATCTTGCTACTGAGTTCTTCAAATATTTCACTGACATTAGTCCCAGTAATGAGCCTATTCGTTTCAGGTAATCCTCTGATAACGATGGTGTCAGGACTCCAATGTAGGTGAGGGTACAGAACCCTACCATCCCCGAGGGTAGAACAAGTTGTCTGAGTTTCACCTTAGTGAGAGTCTCCCTGATGACCACAGTGTTGTCATCAGAACAGCTGAGTAGCAGAGAGAGACCTGAGTGGAGGACCCAGGAGAGACACGTGACAGCTAGGGTGTGGTCTTTAAAGGTTGAGAGTGTTTGTTTAGTTTCCAGGGAGGTTATCTTCACTGTTTGGTCTTCTGAGCAGGTTGCTATTTTAGTGGAACAAGGACTGAACTCCAGGGACCAGATCTCTGCTTTCAGGTTCAAGGATCCGAATCTGGGGTCAGTTTCTGAGTGAACAGGGTTGTGAACTCTCAAATTAAATAGTTTGGTCAGGACACTGGCACTGCTAATTTCGTAAAGCTCAATGTCTCCAGTAACCATTCCAAAACATAACCTATCACGAGTTGTTCTGATGCAGGTTATAGTGTCTTCTTTGTAAGTAACAACTTTAGGTTCACTCCTCATGTCCCACTGAAGCAGACACCCAGACAGAGTACCAATAAACACGCTCACATTCTCTCCAGTTCTAACAGAGTTCAAACATCTGACACTGTCCTCTATCTTAGTCCTGAACACAGGGTTGTCATGGTGACCAGGGTTGTCATGGAGACCAGGGTTGTCATGGAGACTAGGGTTGTCATGGAGACTAGGGTTGTCACCTGGGAGACTAGAGTCCCAGACCAAAACGTTCCCACCCAGGTCACCGCTCACAATGTAGTTGTCGTCAACACAAACTCCACAACACACTATTTCGTGGAACAGAAAGGAGCTCATCTCAGTTGTCAGTTCTAACAGCCCTGAGTTAAGATCTGATTCTTGGACAATATCTTTTGAGGAAAACTTTACTCGAAAGACTCCGTCTACAGTGCCTATCCAAAGTGATAGATCAACTAGTTCCATGAAACACACAAAACCTGATGGTCCTTTAAATGATTTAACAGTGGCTCCAGTTATTAAATTCAGCACGATGAAATTATCCCTACTTTGTTGAAGCAGAACTTCATCTTCAGACACAAACACCATAGCCCAAATAGGGGATTTAGAAACAGCTCTAAGTTTACTCGAATCTTTCTGTGCCATTGTTTCTGAATCAAGAAGGATCAAATCTCGTGACGAAAGCGCTAAAACTATATGCTTATCACTGATAGCATGTCCGATTGCAGCACTCTTCTCCGACATCACCTCAAACTGATTCACAACATCCAGCTCCTCATTGTACCTGATCAAGGTGAAGACAGGCTCTACCCACTTCCAAACAAACAGATCACCCTGGTGACAAGCTATCTGCCAGATATTATCGTACAACTCCTCAGATTTCCACACAACACCACGTTCCCCTAGCTGGTAAATAATAACACACCCCGGCTTAAAGTCATCATGCCCTCGAGTCAGTACAGCTAACTTAGTGGGAGTCAGGAATTTAACAGTAGCTGTTGGAGGGTTTGGAGCTTGGAAGGAATATTTGAAATTCCAATGAGAGTCGTACAGGGCAACCAGTCCACTCCAGTCACAACTAGCACGGAACATGGAACCATTTTTTGTGGGAGGGGACTCGCAGATGAAGGTTATAATACTTCTGTGGGGTGTTTTAATGGTGTTATCACCTTCTGATTCTCCTGTAACTGTGTTAATGGTGTTATCACCTTCTGATTCTCCTGTAACCGACCATGCTGTAATGTCACGTGACCGAGGAACAAATATGTGGTCAGAAGATTTGACGACTGCACCGAGGGTTATGGTGTGAGATCCAAATACACGTGATTTTAGGTATGTTTTCTCCTCGACCTCATCTCCAGACATTAAGCTGTTTCTATGAGGAATCTGTGTGATGCTTGTAATGATACTTTTAATACTATCCATGAATTGGGATATTACTTGCACTGTCGAACTTTAAAGCAAGAAAGTTTGAATAAAATGTTAAATGAACAAAATGAACAAAATGAACATTTCTCATATGATGACTGTGTTCAGTACACTTTAGTATGAGAGATTAGCCAAGACCACAAAATAAATTTTTGACGTAACGGTATTAAAATTCGGGTATTTTAGACGGATAGATTTATTTTTTATGTCATCTATTCGACTTGAAACAGTGAAGAGAAAGAACTTAAATCAAATTGTAATTATATCAAAAGCAAAAAACCATATTATAATTAATCAATTCTAAATTCGGATTAAGTAAGCATAATCTGAACATTACAGGGAAAAAAACAATTAAATTAAGGTATCAATTACCAGTTTTACCGGGCTTAATATTAAATAGTTTTGTACAGCATTGCAGCACTGTGAAATATTTACACAATAATAACAAAGTCGCATTTCAACTAAGATTAAGCCAAGCTCTACTAAAGTAAGCAAACCCAACTACTTAACTTATTTAACATTAACTCTATTTTGAATTCTCGCATTTAACTACAGCACGATTTTTTAAGTGTTAACATTAGGGGTCGTTCACATATTACGTAATCAATATTTTAGCAACGTAATCAACGACCAAACTCCCCCCCCCCCCCCCCCCCCCCCCCCGTAATCAACCGTAAGCATTTGGAAACCCCTCCCCCCTCGGCTGATTATGTAATATGTGAACGACCCCTAATAACACCAACTCTATTTTGAATTCTCACAAACTACTGTACAGCACGATTGTTAACATTAACGTTAACTCTAAAGTTTATAAACATAAGTATTAACATGATTAACAAATGCAGCTCCTATCAAATCAACTCATCTTAACTAAAGTCTCTCAACTAATCAGGGTCAGGATAGTAAGTGAGAGAAACCTGGCTTTTGGCCAAGTCTGGAGACAGCAGGTCAGGTGACGCCATTGTGACGCCATTGTGACGCCATTGTAAGCTTGTAATCGGTTGAAAAGCAGCTCATAACCTGTAACTAGCCCTGCAAGACATTAGGCCGCCCATATTTTACACTAGCATGCAAAGTTCTACTCAGCTATACTGAGGTAAAAATAATATATGGTTTGATCATCCAATACCGTTTTTATACTGGTAACAGTAAACAGTTAACACCCAAAATATAAAGATTTAAGCTGAAGGAAAATAAGATTCAACTATTAATTCAAATGTACTATGTGTCTCCATGCCTCCACAGCCATGTCTCCACAGCCATGTCTCCACAGCCATGTCTCCACAGCCATGCCTCCATAGCCATGTCTCCACAGTCATGTCCCCACAGCCATGTCTCCACAGCCATGTCTCCACAGTCATGTCCCCACAGCCATGTCTCCACAGCCATGTCTCCACAGCCATGTCTCCACAGCCATGTCTCCACAGCCATGTCTCCACAGCCATGTCTCCACATCCATGGACCATGTCTCCACAGCCATGTCTCCACAGCCATGTCTCCACAGCCATGTCTCTACAGCCATGCCTCCACAGCCATGCCTCCACAGCCATGTCTCCACAGCTTCTCTCCAGTTCTTAGTAAACCCAAGGCCACAGCTTCATGGTACCTTTACCAGGATAGTCATCAAACTTGGTACCGTACCACCTATAAGTGTGATGTGCACGTGCACAGAGGTACGCTACCATGGGAACGTAGTTGACAAACGCTCCGAAACTGTATCCTATCAGACCGAATCCCAACCACGATGTCAGCTCTCTGGGAGGATACTTATTTACAAAAATAAAATCATTAAAAGAAAAGAGCATGACTGTTTTGCTATTAATATATAATCTGTTAGCTCAAAAGTAAGATTTCAAAATACACTGAGCAGTTGCTTCTAAAAGAGGCTTCAAATTCATGTAGAAAGATTGATCATTTTATTTGTCCAAAGTCTTAAATTAGAAACAATTAACAACTCGGTAAACACACTCTAACTGACCCGCAGTACTGAGGACAGACAATGAGTCCGAACAGCCCCCCAGTAGGGACAATGTACTTGTAGGACCCAGGGGACCGGAGAGTAGAGAGAATGTAGTGGTGGACCAGGTTAATCAGCTGCCCTGTTACCCAGATACAGAGTCCTACTTTCACTCGTAGCTGCAGGGGAGTGGGTTTAGTTAGATACAAGTACATTGCAAAACCTGGTTTAGGCTTCAATCTGCTCAACCTATCAGATCCAATCTTCCTTTTATTTTCTTCTTTTTTAATTATATCCGATATTAATAGGCTTGAAATATTTTCGAAGTGTGTCCACTATAGCAAACCTCATCGTCAAGGAAAGAGTTTCTGTCAGGTCCAGAGAGTCTGTGGAGAGAGTATGCGGTAACCACAGCTCCAAGCGAGTAGAAAGAGGCTATCTGAAACAAACACGTGTAGTGTGTACTGTATTATTACACAGTCTGGCAGTGTTAAAGGCAGGGTTAAACACAGTGTGTATCGTCTAAAAACTAAGTGTAAGGTATTAAATAACAGGAGCATGATAATGTTCAGTTAATTCAATATTTTATGCTGGGACTGGACGAAATGTTTATAACGCAACTGAGAAACAAGTTAGAAAAAGTGAGAAAAAGTGAGAAACAAGTGAGAAACAAGTGAGAAACAAGTGAGAAACAAGTGAGAAACAAGTGAGAAACAAGTGAGAAACAAGTGATAAACAAGTGAGAAACAGGCGATGAGAAGCGTACCTCGATAACAGTTAGAAATAGGCAGTCCTTACTGTACTTGTGTACAAATAGCACCTCCAGACACCGTTTAGTGAAGTGAGTACAGTATAAACCCAACATCAGCAGATCGTACGAACTGGGGGGACAGCTTGGTTATTTGGAAAACTTCTTACTCTGAACAAATAACGCTTTATCGATATTCCTTAAAAACTAATCCTGTCAAATTTCCCAAAACACTGTAAATCTGACCTGGTGGGAGCACCCAGGTAGTTCCAGACAATAACGTAAGCTAAAGCGGGAGTGGAGTACATGATGAACCACCCAACTCTAGCGGGACACCCCCCTTCTGGAGCGAACTTACTGAAACATTATTGTTACTGTGGTTACTGTGGTTACTGTGGTTACTGTGGTTAATGTGATTAATGTGGTTAATGTGCTGTGGTTACTATGGTTAGTGTGGTTACTGTGGTTACTATGGTTAGTGTGGTTACTGTGGTTACTATGGTTACTGTAATTACTGTGGTTACTGTGGTTACTGTAGTTACTGTGGTTAATGTGATTAATGTGGTTAATGTGCTGTGGTTACTGTGGTTACTGTGGTTACTGTAGTTACTGTGGTTAATGTGATTAATGTGGTTAATGTGCTGTGGTTACTGTGGTTACTGTGGTTACTGTAGTTACTGTGGTTAATGTGATTAATGTGGTTAATGTGCTGTGGTTACTGTGGTTACTGTGGTTACTGTAGTTACTGTGGTTACTGTAGTTACTGTGGTTACTGTGGTTAATGTGGTTACTGTGCACTGTGGTTGTTATAAATGTTGGAACATTTATTATTGAATTGAAAGAAAGCACTGATACTGTTGAAGCACTGATATACCAGAACTAACTATGACATGTACACGATACAGTAAATTAATTAAAATTCTAAACTTAATATATATTTCAATAGCGATACAAATAGATCTACACCCATTCTCTACACCTATTTATTCATAGGTCCTGCCTGTTATAATATATATAATAATGGAGATTATTATTATGATCACTTAAACAAGATCCTAAAAACACGTATAAATAGTCTTAGAGGATTTATTTAGAGGTTCTATTTAGAGGTCCTATTTAGAGGTCCTATTTAGAGGTCCTATTTAGAGGTCCTATTTAGAGGTCCTATTTAGAGGTCCTATTTAGAGGTCCTATTTAGAGGTTCTATTTAGAGGTCCTATTTAGAGGTCCTATTAAGAGGTCCTATTTAGAGATCCTATTTAGAGGTCATATTTAGAGGTCCTATTTAGAGGTCATATTTAGAGGTCCTATTTAGAGGTCCTATTTAGAGGTCCTATTTAGAGGTCCTATTTAGAGGTCCTATTTAGAGGTCCTATTTAGAGGTCCTATTTAGAGGTCCTATTTAGAGGTTCTATTTAGAGGTCCTATTTAGAGGTCCTATTAAGAGGTCCTATTTAGAGATCCTATTTAGAGGTCATATTTAGAGGTCCTATTAAGAGGTCCTATTTAGAGATCCTATTTAGAGGTCATATTTAGAGGTCCTATTTAGAGGTCATATTTAGAGGTCCTATTTAGAGGTCCTATTTAGAGGTCCTATTTAGAGGTCCTATTTAGAGGTCCTATTTAGAGGTCCTATTTAGAGGTCCTATTTAGAGGTCCTATTTAGAGGTCTTATTTAGAGGTCCTATCTACCTGTACTGGAGAGGGTACCACTGGAGATACTCGTTCAGGTAGTTACTAAAAGTGACAATAGCACACAGTATCAGAAAACCTTGATTCTCCCATGTCAGTTCAGCAGGAAACCATAGCCACCCCTGAAATATTGTTCATGTTTCTGAGGAAATAATAGAGAATAATTATTTTAAATACTTGTTGAACATTCGAGAATGTTCCAAAACTAAGTTCCAAAACTTAGCCTTAATGGCTAGATTAATCAGGAGTTTTTGATGCTGTGAAATTGGAACAGGTGAAAGTAATATCCCGGGTAAATGCCTCACAGAATGGCTAGCCTCACAGAATGGCCAAATTTGTAAATGTTTTTGTAACTAATTTTTTATAAAAGACTGGTAGGTTTTGTGGATACCATATGGGGGGGGGGGGTGTCATGTCCGTCTATGTCCGCCTATGTCCTGTCCTTTTTGGATTCTATGAGACAACGGACGTGTTTTTTGGGACATTAGCGGACACGGACGGACATTGGCGGACTCGGACGGACATTGGCGGACTCGGACGGACATTGGCGGACCCGGACGGACATTGGCGGACTTGGATGGACATTGGTGGACATTAGCGGACATTTGTGGACATTAGCGGACAAACATTTTGAGAACTGAACAGTACTGAAGAGTACTGAAGAGTACTGAGGAGGATGGCTGAGAAGGATGGCTGAGGAGGATGGCTGAGGAGGATGACTGAGGAGGATGACTGAGGAGGATGACTGAGAGGGAGGAGGAGGAGGAGGAGGAGGAGGACCCAGAAGGAGGACCTAGGAGGAGGAGGACCCAGAAGGAGGACCTAGGAGGAGGAGGAGGAGAACTGAGGAGGATGACTGAGGAGGAGGAGGACTCAGGAGGAGGACTGAGGAGAACTGAGGAGGAGGAGGAGGAGAACTGAATAGGAGGAGGAGAAGGAGGGGGACTGGGAGAGGACTGGGGAGGAGGAGGACTGAGGAGGAAGAGGAGGAGGATGAAGAGGAGGAGGAGGACCCAGGAGGAGGACCCAGGAGGAGGACTGGGGAGGAGGAGGAGGACTGGGGAGGGGGAGGACTGTTGAGGACTGATGAGGAGGACTGAGGACGAGGAGGAGGAGTAGGAGGAGGACTGAGGAGGGGTGGAGGAAGAGGACTGAGGAAGATCAGGAAGACCCAGGGGGAGGAGGAGGAAGAGTAGGAGGAGGAAGCATCTAAATGTTATTTCCATTTTTGTCCGTTTTTGTCCATTTTTGTCCGTTTTTGTCCGCTCTATTTTTTGTCCGTTTTGAAAATATAGAGGTACCGAACGGACAAAAACATGATCCCCCTATAACAGCAAAAATTGAACATTTTATTTAGCAATTTAGGTGTCCATTAATGTCCGCCTATGTCCGCCTATGTCCGCCTATGTCCGTCTATGTCCGCCTATGTCCGCCTATGTCCGCCTATGTCCGTCTATGTCCTGTCCTTTTTGGATTCTATGAGACAAGCGGACATAGACGGAGGTGACACCCCCCCCCCCCCCCCCCCCCCCCCCCATATGAAACAAAAGTCTTCTGACAACACTTCCTGTGGTGAAATCATTAACTAGGACCACATTTTCTGGCATAAATATGACTGTTTATGTAGAAATTTTGAGCACTGAAAAATTTGTTTTCAAATTTTCGAACTAAGTTTACATTTTGGTGAGAACTTCTGGCACCAGTATGACAGAAGATGTTTAAAGAATAGTATTCATCAAAAAAAACGAACATTGTTCAATTTAGGAAGAAACAAAATGCTAAAATGGCTACACGCCTCACAAAATGGCCAAAATATGCCTCACAAAATTTGTTTTCAAATTTTTGAACTAAGTTTGCATTTTGGTGAGAACTTCTGGCACCAGTATGACAGAAGATGTTTAAAGAATAGTATTCATCAAAAAAAACGAACATTGTTCAATTTAGGAAGAAACAAAATGTTAAAATGGCTAAACGCCTCACAAAATGGCCAAAATTTAAAACTCCTTTTATTCAATGAAACCATAAGTCTAAAGTATTCACAAGCTATTTATCATACAATAACACCCCAGATGGAGTGTTTTTACAGCCGAATGAAGGTTATAAATCATGAAATCAGGGAATATGAACAACGCCACACAAAATGGCCATTTTTGGTGTAGGAAATTATGCCCTTTTTATTCAGTTCTAAGAAATTTCACCTATATGGGGGTGTTAACAAGGCATATTAATACCAGCAGCATGCCTGAAACAAGAGCCAAAGGTTTTAGAAAAATAAAATTTTCTCGTTTTCTTTTTTTTTTGCCATTTTGTCAGGCATTTTTTCTTTTTTGTGAAATAATTTTTCACAGCTCAGTTTTTTCGTGAGTTTTAGGTTATTACCCCATTCCTTAATAGGTTTTCTAAGAACGTGTGGTGATAGAAATTTAAAAAGTATCTCCATCAAAAAAATTATAGAAATTCAGATTTGGCCATTCTGTGAGGCATGTTTTTTTGGAGGAAGATTTTCCGGCCAATTTTTCTCAAAGAAAAAATGGTTATGAGATTAAATGAACCCCCGGGAAGAAAAATATGAGTGTCAACTTAGCTTCTTATGAGATAAAAACTGGAATAAAGTGTGTTTTGTGACTTTGAGAGACCTTCCTTTTTTTTGGCCATTCTGTGAGGCAAATACCCGTACCCTAAAAATAAAAATACATAATTCATCGAACCTTGAAGTAAGCGAGGATAACAGGGAGAATTCCGAAGGAAAATCCGACAATAAAAGGACGATCACCCATCTTGCTAGAATAATTTAGGGTAAAGTTATAAATAAAATATCTGTTTCTAAACTTTAGAATTGTGAAATAAACAACTTTAGGAGATGTGTCAGAGCCGGTGATAAATGTCAAAGCGAAATGTTGTGTGTTTTTAGAGAGGCCTAATAGTGAGCATGAAGCCGTGTAAAGTTCAGTAACTATTGCTACTAAATCGGTATATATAATAATTGTGAATACTGAATACCTGAATACTGAGTATCTATAGTCGGTGAATGTAACGGTTGTACCCCCTGAATGTAACAGTTGAACCATTGTGACGGTACGGTGCGTAACTCGTCACACTCGAGTCTGTCACAGTAGAGGTAGAAATATACAATTTTGACTAACTACTCATGAATTTTGAGCGTGGTGCAAACCACAAACTTTTACATTTGCAGCTCATAGAAAGGCTGAGGCAGCAAGGACCGAAATGGTGTTCGAATTATGAAACATAATTGCAACAAAGATTATATTGAGATATTTAGCAATAAATTTCAAGGGGCTGGAAATAAATAAATAAACTGAAACTAAATCACACCGCTCGCGCTGTATCATTATCTTGTTCCATAACACAATAATAGACACTAACCTCATAACCCATATCATGGAACAGCAACTCCTAATTACACGACAAGATAAACCCGTACGGATAATCCGATCCACTTTAAAATGTACCTGACACTTTTTGCTAAACCTCATTAAAGTATGTAAGTTATGGTACGATAACTTGTTGGTCCAGGAATTCTATAAACTATCTTATTACACGAGGGGACAGGAAATAAAACTCACAAATTAAATGAGCACACTTTTAGTTTCCTGTTCTTACCGACTATAATATCCGGTTATCAAATACAGTTTCTTGTATAGAATTGAATAATCTCAAATGGAAAATTATAATCCTGTAATATATAACTCTCATCCAGCATTCCTAATACTTGAATTAGCTTCCAAAGTATCTAATACCTTATCAACGATCTCACTATAACTCTGATAAGAAACACAAGTGTCCTTATTCTCCAACAAAGTCCCACTATCCAAATATATTGACAAGTTAGGGTCTATTGGCACTGAGCCAAGGAACTTTAACTTGCAGTGTTCAGCCAGTCTCTGACCTCCACCCTGGTTAAATAACAGACTGCAGTCTGAACAGTTCGGGCACACAAACCCACTCAGTGTTTCAATAATACCTAGTATATTAGCTCCGGTCGTCTTGCAGAAGCTCACTTGTCTCAACACATCTGCTGCGGCTAATGCCTGGGTAGGGTAGTGTTATTATTGCAAACTTCAACTGTTTTAAACCCACAGACTTCGGGTGATTAGGATCGGATGCAAGTTAATAATAAACTTCAGAGTCCTTCAAAACCACAAGTTATTTAAAGAAAGCTTTTTATAGTGGTTATATAATCTCACAACGGTTCTGTCCGGTTTATAATGCAGATGTCAATGTTAGTTACCTGAGGTGAGGTAGTGAGGATGACGGAACAGTTAGGGACACATTCCATTACAGCCATGTGCTCATCTGATGTACCTGATAAAACACGTCAAATCAGTGTCCTGAGAGATACAGGAATTCTTATAAAATTGGACAATTAAATGTGAAACAAGTTAGAACTAAAGAAGAGTTGTGTACTGTATTTCCTGTAGTTAGCTGGATGTTGCCTCACATTACCTGGCGGTGTGTCAATAATCAGGTAGTCAAGTGATCCCCAGCAAACATCCTCTAAAAACTGCTTTATCATAGCAGTTTTCTTGGGACCGCGCCAAATCACCGCCTGATCCTGGTTTTCAACCAGATAAGACAAGGATACTGCCGATATTCTCCCAGCCCCAACTGATTGAGTTAAAGGAACCCAACCTTGATCACAGGAGTGGATGTTTCCCTGAATAGTTCAGAATGAGATTATTATAACTGAGATGTACGGTTATGAAAGAATGGTCATTATACCCATTATAATTAACAATACATTGTACAATATATAATATATTTATACTGATTGTTGTATAATGTATAAGTTGATAGCAATAATATATGACCAACCTTCAGTCCAATCATCTTAGAGAGACTTGGTCCACACAGGTCAGCATCAAGGACTCCAACAGAGAATCCTCTTTGAGCGAGATTGAAAGCTATTACCGCAACAGTTGTGCTCTTCCCAACTCCACCTTTACCTGGAATGTTAAATTGCACAAATTGTTAACAACATGATTGTGATATTTAAAAATATTTTTGGAATGCTGTTGGCCCATAACAAAATTTATAATGACTTCGTGAATACAACTCGTAAACTGCTCTTTTCAGGTGAAGGAAACTGTTCAACGTTTCAATGTAACATGTATGAGTAATGTTCCTTATCGGATGCTACATCTAGGTTATATTATTGGAAGAGTTCAATCCTGAAGTTAAGCCAGTGAATTTACCTGAAAACACACCAATGATCCGTTTTACACTGGATGTACCAGAAAACACCTCAGTTGTTTCGTTATTATCATTCATTCTCTGGCCTACAAAAGGTATGCATTTAAAATAACTATGCTGAAATACAATGTTATACCTTTGACACACCAGTTCTAGGTGCAATGTGCATGGTGTATATCAATCTGATCCATTCTGGAAAATTTCACTGATCTAAGAGACAGTGACGTAACTCTGCAGTACTTAACACAGCTTTTACAGCAGGGTATGGAGGAAATTTCTGTATCCTGTCTCAAATGCATTACAAAAAGAGGACTTTTCAAGAAAACAACAAATTTTTATTTAAATCAATTATAGCAACAATTTGAAAAACTTTTAAAGTTATTCTATTACCAAGGAATATACTACAGGTACTTGCAAACATGCACTTGCATTGTATTTATAAAAACTAGAAATTAGGCTTCACAGTAAAATGGAGAAGCAGGCTGATCTTGGAGAGAGCAGACAGTAGAGTTTACGCACCCACCAGGGCTACCTACCTACCCCAGTTGTTCTTTTTGGTTTATCAGCTTGTATTGTTATATTTATGGACCCCAAGTCACCACACTAAGAAGAAGTATGTAACAAAATGAGTTAAGTTAATGTCATCATATCAGTTTAAAACAGTAAAAGTTAAGTTAAGGATTGAAGGTGGATCATTGGTATACCGTTAAATCGATTTAACACCGCAATTCCAGTCGCAAGCCTGGGACCATTACTAGCATTGTCACAACATCTGCAAAGCTGCCATATAGCCTGACTGACAATTTTCTCGACTGACTGACAATGTTTCTTCTTTTCCCCATTTAGAATACAAAGATTGGTACATTTTAGCTTATGATTAATATTATATTTTTACCTATAGTTTACCTAGATTAGTTAATTTAATGGTTCAAACGGTTGGGAATATAATAATGTTGGTATTTGTATCTGCTGCAGCAATAATATCGATGTGTTTTTCGTCTAGAAAATCTTCGCCACTTCAATAGATATTAAGTAAAACAAAATTTAAGTAAAACAAAATTTAAATTTTATTGCCATTACAATGAATAATAATATCATAATAAATATAAGTAGACATCCGATAATAAACTTGTTACATCCAGTACAACCCAAGATGTCAGCCAACGCGACTTACAAAAATAAAGAAAGCTAGCATGTTCATTGTTGATAGTTTTTCTAACGAGCATACTTAGGCTGTACGGAAATAGCTTTAATGTTTAATTCTACGTCATATTAAAAACATTACATCATTTTTGCTAGATACAAAAATAAATTTTGAAATAAATAACTCTTTTGCTGCTAAGGCGCGGCACCGCGCTGGGTCCACATGTTATACAGCGTGTAGCAACACAGCGCTGAAAATATAAGATGATTGAGCTATAACATATAAGCGGTGCGCCGCGCCTAAACCTAAAACCATAAACTTTAAATTGTAAATATTGTCAAGATATTTAAACGAGTTTTTGCGAAATAATATGACATGCTGACTTCTATTCGTAGGATATTACAATTATACCCGTGCCAGTTCCAAATGTGAGTCAGCGCTTAAACCAAAAGCAGTTGGCAAAAGGAGCCAGTTGCCTGCAAGAGCTTTACTAGCACCCGATTTACCACTTTTGGAGCACAAACTCAAACCTAAAACCGGCCAAGCACAAAAGTATGTTATCGCCACGATTGGGTGGATTGATTCCCAGATATTTATCAGCACGCGGCACTAATAATATGAAGTTCATTATCGAATTTTAGATATGCCATGGATCGTTTAACACATATATAAAAGGTTATTAAAGAATAATTAATGTTTGGTTGTTGGTATAAATCGATATTAATCAATTATTTAAAATAGTATTTGTGTTTGTTATTATTAACTATTGAGTTTCGTTCGATTTAAATATTAAAACACTACTACAATACATTTCACAAAACAAAACGACGGGGACACAGAAAGGAGAAGGACAACACATCACACGGACGGAAACTGCTGCTGTTGACGAGTATCTGATTATATTAATTATGGGTCTCTTGTTCATTAAAATAGGTGTGATCATACTTCTAGAGTATATTGGGCTGACACAGTTGCTGCAAGGTTAACATTGGGGTCCAAAACCCGGAGTGTGATACAACTTATTTTCGCGTTACGTAGTAAGAGATACAAAATATAAAATATAAGATATAAATGACTGCAAGTTTACGGATATAGCGCGGCGCCATTTCATTATTCTGGCGCGGTAAATCACGCTGGGTAATGAAATGATAAAGTTATACAATGTTTAAGTTTCGCGCGCTACGTTTACACAATATATTTGTGAGTCCGTCCCACGTTCCAGACGAACACTCCAGACAAGTCCAGACACCAGTGTAAAGCGGATGAGCTGATCAGTGTTCTGTGTTATATGCGTGAATATATAGTTTCTATGTTTGAATGTGGTGTATTGTGTGTGTTATTTTGTGTGTGTAGTATGAAATCTATATGGACTTGTTTGTGTGTTCTTATTATAGGCACATGTCATTTCCATCAAAGTTGAGTTCTGACCATTCATCAGTGTTTCCAGCTTTTTGAGCATTGAGTAGCATAGTTTTAATGCGACCTTTAACAAGTGCAATTGGGGACGAGAAGTCAATCTTACTAGAAGGTTTAAGGAATTTATTCCACATATTCGAGGTTTTATATACAAACAAATTGGTTGCAGCGGGGATAATAAAGTAGTTATCACGTCGGGGTGACTTTTGAAATAAATTGTACATCGGTATTGGAGTGTGAAGTTTGATTATTTTAAACATTTCAAGTAGACAGTGGTACTTATACAAATTATGCACGCATGGGTCGGCAAATTGGTGAGTGAGTGATAAGGTGTAGAATACCTGTGTTACGGGTGTAGAATGTGAAGGATATGATACATTCATCACACACACATTGTTATATACTTGCTCTATCCAGAGCCCTTGCGCTTGTAGTAGCGTGCGCCCGCCGATCCAGCGGTTTCTTTACTTGTGAAACATGCGCGCCCGCAGTGGCGCGAAAGTACATGGTTAGGTGAATTATATACTAAAGATAATGTACTAGATTTAATAAACAATATACACATAATATAGTTAAGTATGATAAGTAGTAGATGAGTTAAGTAGATATAGTATCATCGATTACAGTTTATGGCGCAACATAAAAATTAGCCAAACGTCGCTGAAGTGCTAAGCCAATGAAAAATTGTCTTCTCTCTCATGTCTGAACTGAGAAGATATCAGTTAATACTAGTCAGTGTAATATAAGATATATTATGAGTTTGCACAGAATTTTGTAGCCCCGATATCATCTATATGCCATTTAGAGTGTACAGGGATAGTGAAAAATAGAAATCAACCTGACAAAAAGAATGAAGAAACGAATAGTTAAGCGTAAGTAAGTAAGTAAGTTAAGATTATGACATAACAACATCACAAGTGTCTACAAAATATTATTTGTTATTGCACTCAATAGAAAAATAATTTAAATAAATATATTTTTGCATCAACATTAATAATTTATTAAATTCAATTTTATTAATTAATAAAATCTAATACACTTTACCTGCATGGCACGATGACAACTGATAAAGTCGCTTTTTCAATTTTTATTTAAGATGTTGATTTAATTTGATGCTCAGGACGAGTGCGCAGCGTAAAATTCCCGATCCTCGAAAAATGTTGCTTGTTAAAAAACTTCGCACATACAACATAATGATATAAATCCAACTCTTTTTTATCTAACAAAACTAAGGTGTGAAACAAGCGTGCAGGCGCGCTTGTTTCATTAAACCATTGTTAATAGTTTGGCCCGGCGCGCGCTACTTCGTAGCACTTGCCATCGGGCCATTTCGAGGAGAAAGCAGCGAGTAACATCCGTCAATTGTTTCACAGGTAAGGAGGCGGGAGCGCGCCAGTGCAATTGCAAGCGCATGGGCTCTGGATGCTGGATAGAGTAACGTTTTACTTATGAAACCTCACTGGCACGGGCCTAACTTTGAAAGTAAAAGAAATAAATACTATTAGTTTTTAGTAAAATGATTTTGTATCACGTCGTGACCCCCCACGGTTGTTTCACTATAGTTTAGAGTTAGTAAAGTTTCTACGATACAGGGGGAGCCGCGAACTCGTGCGCAGCGGGTCATACAACGTATGACAAATAAGATTGACGGATGTTACTCGTCTAAATTTCTTCGAAGTATAGCGCGCGCCGCCCTCTCGAAATGTTCCGAGGCACGTGCTACGAAATAGCGCGCGCTGGGCTAGTCCATTAACAATGGACAATAAAGTGACAGTGTCGCTTTGTAAAAATAAAGTTTCCTCCCCAGGAAAATTAGGGCCAGGGAAATTGTAAATTGGACTCGTCGGACGTCGACAGTCTTGACGGATGTTAAGCTCGTCTAAATTTCTTCGAAGTAGCGCGCGCCGAAACCCTAACCCTCAAATCTGATCCCAACCCTAACCCTAAATATGCCTAACCCAATCCTTAACAAAAGCATTTGCTGAAACCCTAACCCTCACGAGAAATTAGACTAACTTTCTTACACTATATTTGATATTATGGTCATATTACGTGATCGAGACAGTTTTCGCCATTATTGAATATCTCAATCAGGGGAGCATTCGGAATCAGCGTCCGAAAATAAATCGATTGAAGTTGGTTTCAACTGTGGGGGCTCTTTTAGAACAATCTCGAATATCGACTGTATATAGTAGGGCTCTTAGGTGGCGATTACGTTTTCACCTCTTGAGGGAATCCTACGCATGTTGTTAACTGTCAGACTTTGGACGAGGAAATGTTCTCGCGCCGTACGTTTATTATGGTAAAGCATTTTGGTACCAGAACGATAAATCTGTTCAAAATAAAAAGTTCGAAAATAGAGTGTTTTAGTGAATAACTTAGAATATATTTTTGATTTTCTCAAGGTCTGACTGATAGATTTTCTTTAAACTTTCCAGATAGTTACAAGGCTATATGACGGATAATGTGTGAGAGTTTGGGAGAATTTATATGTGCCAAACTTGAGATATAATGACTTCAAACACAA